TGGGACCACAGGCGCCCGCCACAACGCCCGGCTATTTTTTGGTTGCAGCCATCATTGTTGTTTGGCAGGTCCGGGCTGGGGATTCGAACCCGCCACATTAGGTGTACATGGCTGGCGCCTTAGCCGGTTGAGCTATAGGAGCCGAGCCGACATCTCTTTATCTTACATGGTTTGTATGTTTGTCAGGGGCCTTTATTCATCAAGGTGCCTGTCAGTAGCTAGGACCTTAAATGTTTTTGTTTAGGGAGGAGCATTAATAAAATTTATATTTTTACCAGCCTCTTAATGAAAATAGTATGAAAGTTAATTTTTATACTCCTAAAACTGTATAGCTATTAGGTTTTATATATTATGAAATAATATGCCGTTTCATTGAAACAGAATTGTTTGTTCTGCATGTTTTATGTTGCCACAATGGTTTTGTAATAGTTTTTTTTCCCCCTTTGGCTATTGTATTTAATGTCATTGGTTTTTTATTTTTCAGATGCATTAGTTAATTGCCTCATGCCAGGCATTGTGTTTAAGGCTGATCTTTTTTGTGCCTTTGCATGTGTCCTGTGCTTGTTCGTGCTTGTGATGATAATTGTACTTTCTAGACATCATATCTGACTTACGAAAATCAATTTTTATGAATAGTTTAATGCAGCTAAAATTCTGTTGTGTCTTGTTTTTGATTAGCATCTTCTAAAGTACTAAAGAGCATGTGTGAGAATTTTTACAAGTATTCAAAGCCCAGGAAAATTCGAGTATGTGTCGGAACCTGGAATGTGAATGGTGGGAAGCAGTTTCGCAGTATAGCTTTTAAGAATCAGACGCTGACTGACTGGCTTCTTGATGCACCCAAGTTAGCTGGCATCCAGGAGTTTCAAGGTTGGCTTTTTATAATATAGATTTAACTAATAAATCCTGACTATGACTTACTGATCTAAAAAAATACAGCATTTCACACTGCATTGATTTATGAAACAAACTTGGAGTTATAAATTTGAAGGCCACCATTTTTACAGATTAGGTATTTACCTCTTTTTAAATTTCTAGATCTTTATTTTTTACTTCACAAAAAACCCTAATACTAAGGTAAAAAAACATTTTCTTTGATAATTGATTATCAGGAAATAAGGTACATACATAAATAGATGTTTAAAGGCAACTACACACATAAAGAAAAACTAGTTCTGTTTTTATTTTAAACTGACATAAACCAAGATTATTTTGTAATCAGTAATTTGAGTTTCATATCCCATTTTTAAATTCTAGTCCTTTAGTTTCTAACATGAGAAATATCAGAGTGGGTTCACAAACAGCCTTACAAAACTTACTGTGATATTTGTTGGTACATAGTAACATTACTGGTTTGTTACAGTAAAGACTTTGTCAATTCAGTTTGGGTCCTATGCATCAAGGTATTAACCAGAGCCGGACATTAAGTGGAGGATACTTTGGTTAAGATTTTGATTAAAGGGCAGCGCCTATGGCTCAAAGGAGTAGGGCACCGGCCCCATATGCCAAACTTGGCGGGTTTAAACCCAGCCCTGGCCAAAAACTGCAAAAAAATAGATTTTGATTAGAATTTAATTTTTCTCTTTTTAAAAATCAACTTTAATTTTTTTCTAAAAATTGCATATAATTACCAAATATTATATGTGAAGGAGACTTATATGACAAATAGAGATACAAATTTTTCTTTTTTATTTTTAATCCGTCACATCTTTTATAAACTCTTAGTATCATAAAATCATAAATAGTATCATAATAAAATAAGATTATGTGGTAAAGGATGAAAATAGTTTTGATTTCCTTTCCCTTCTACCAGTTCACTATCAATTAAATGTAATTCTATGTTGAGAATCCTGTTAAGGTTCTACCCACTTTAAGTGCTGAGAATTTAACTTAACTTGGATTTTCCCCAAACCTATTAAAATGCCCCTTTTCATTTACATGGAACCTAACTTGAAGTTATGATAATAACAGCTAACACTAATTTTAATTAATTTATATACATTTATTTAATCTTGAGATTGGATCTATTACACAGACACTATTATTCTAATTTTATAGACAAAGAAACCGAAATACAGAAGGGACTTAACTGCTCATGGTCACGCAGTAGTGGCAAAACCAAGATTGGAGTTTAGGTAGTTTGGTTTCAGAGTCTGTGTGCCATGCTGCATTTTATGTGTGAACTTGGGCAAGTTACTTAGGTACTCTAAAGCCTCCTGTCTTTAAATAAAAAGCAAACAATATGTGTTGTAGGTTGTTTGTGTGGTAATTAAATGAGATGATGGATATATGAACCTTGCACATAATAGCAATATTTTTTATTACAGTATTTATAGATTCTTTGTGTTTGCCTTATTTTTGAATATGTAGGGTGTTCAAAGTACTCCTGGGCTGCTTATCTCAAGCAGCTTGTGTTCTCTTTTAGTCCTTGTTAGTTAGGAGAGCGCTGTTAGCTGGGACAGAGTAGTGTCTCTTATCACCTGGATCTCTTGTTTTCCTGGATTTCTTCCACCCAGGAAATACCGTAGCAAAAAGATCAAGCTCATGGTTTTCAAATTCAAATGTGAAAAATTTCTCTGGGCTGTTATGTCTAATTTCAGAGTTTCTCAGCCACTTTATTCTTTGTGCCTTATCTGAATAGCTTTTGAGAAGTGGCATCTGTGCTGTCCATGATACAAACTTTAGCAGGAATCTTTCAGAAAGATTTGTGAAAGGACTTAAGGATCTTTAAGAATAACAATCTTATAGAAAGAAACTTAGAACACCTGAATAAAAAGTAAATTTAAGGTAATTTTATCCACTCATGAGTTTTTTCCCCTGAAATGAGTTTGAATAAACTCAAAACACAAAAGTGGATTTTTATGAGATCTGGTACCATGTTGTGTCGGGTGGGATTGCCTTTTGATTAAAGCTCTATTTTAAAGTATTTATTGGATGCTTAATTATAGATAAAAGAAGTAAGCCAACTGATATATTTGCAATTGGTTTTGAAGAAATGGTAGAGTTGAATGCTGGAAACATTGTGAATGCAAGGTAAGTTACCCAGGTAACAACACTGAAAAATTTGTCAGTTGAGGAACACAGAGGACGGATACCTAAGTAGTTGTTATAAGGATAGATTGGGAAGGTAATTTTAAAACTGTAAAAGAGCAGTTCTCAAACTTTTTGGTCTAAGAATTTCTCTGTATTAAAGGATTTATTAACGCTTATATCTCTTGACATATTAGAAATTAAAATTTTAAAATATTTCTTTTTTTTTTTTAATTGCGACAGAGTCTCACTCTGTTGCCCGCAGTAGAGTGTGTGACGTCACAGCTCACAGCAACCACCAACTCTTGGGCTTAAGCGATTCTCTTGCCTCAGCCTCCCAAGTAGCTGGGACTACAGGCACCCACCAAAACGCCCGGCTATTTTTGTTGTAGTTGCTAGTGCTGTTTTAGCTTACAGGGGCCGGGTTCAAACCCACCACCCTCGGTGTATGGGGCCAGCGCCCTACCCACTGAACCACAGGTGCTGCCCTATTTCATTCATTTAAACAATAATAAACCTATTCCATGTTAATATAAATGATATTTTTTCAAAAAATAACTTCTCCAAAACCAAAAATTTTCTGAGAAGGGTGGCATTGTTTTGTAATTTTGCAAATCCCTTTTAATGTCTGGTTTAAGACAACTGGATTCTTGCATCAGCTTCTGTATCAGTTTATTGTTTGGGTTGAAATATATGAAGAAAAATCACATAATTATGTAGTTTGAAAGGGAATGTCTTAATAGCCTTTCCAGATAATTTCTTTTCTGATACCATCTCAAAACTCAACAAATAATAGTGTCTTAAAGCAGCAATTCTGGCTCGGCGCCTGTGGCTCAAGTGGCTAAGGCGCCAGCCACATACAGCTAAGGTGGCGGGTTCGAATCCAGCCCAGGCCCACCAAACCACAATGATGGCTGCAACCAAAAAATATCCAGGCGTTATGGCAGGCGCCTGT